TTTATATTAAGAACTATTTTATCATGGAATAAATTGACAATATTAGTTTTCCAGGGTTAAAGATTTTGCTATTGAAGTTTTTAAACTTTGAACTAAGTTATACATTAAGTTATCCCTCATTAACAAGATGTAATTTTTTTTCAGGGAGTTTGACCACGAAGCTCAAAATCAGTTCAGTTACTTCGAAAAACTGCTGTCCATGTGAACTTCAATAGTATATTCTGAGGAGATACTGAGATTCGCAAACAGCAACTTCTAGCTTTTGTACTTTACTTCACATGCAGTTTATCAGAATTTGCTCAGTGACTTAGATGACGGGTCTGAGTGCAATGTATCAATGTTTGTTCACAATAAAAAAACTAGGTAGGATACTAAGTTGCGAGAACACAAAGAAGCTGCAAAATAATTTTGACAGGTTAATTGAACGAGCAAGAACATGAAATGTGAAGATATCCACTTTGATGGTAAAAAATAGAAAAGCAGAATTTATTTTAAATGTTTAGAGTCTAGAATGTTGATGTTCAAAAGGATCAGTGTACCCTCAAACAAATAGGAGGTTGCATGCAGTACCTGCATGTTACTGGAAAAGCAAATAGTAGTTAGTCATTATTGTAAATGGATAGGAGTATAAAATTAAGAATTGTATAGGACCTTGGCAAGGCCATAGCTATAGGTTTCTGTTTACAGTTTTGGGGCACTATTTAATGCAGACAATGGGCATTTCATCCATTGGTTGGAGAACCACTTCAGCTCCACTTCACTTCAGCAAAGACCCATGATATGAAGTGACACTCAGGCACATAACTGGACAGCAAGGACTCTTGAGGTAGGGATCCTGCTTTATTGGGGTAGCCAATCAAATGCCAGAAATTCTACTGCAGGACAGCACGGTTGAGAAGGTAGTGGTTGCTGCCGGTGTGACACCCATCTTGGGCCTAATATTATCCATGGATCGTTGGACACAGGTAGTGAGTTTGAAGGGTCGCAGAATGGGATCACAGGAAGGAACGGAGGAGGCAGCTTGGCAGGAAGAGCAAGGTGACTCTTAGGGGAGCTCCACTTCCTGATGTCAGGTCCCTCAAACACCAAGTGCCTTTGAATGAGGGATCTCCCTGAGAAGCAACAAGCAAACCTGTGCAGAGCTCCTAGTGATGTTTCAATCATGGTGAGACCCCTCCCATATCTGGGATATTAAACAGTGGTAGTGGCATAGACCATAAGATATTGGAGCAGAAACTGAGTCTGTTCCGTTATTCAATCATGGCTGATAGGTTTCTCAAGTCCATTCTGTCACTTTCTCCCTATAACTTTTGATACCCTACTAATCAAGAACCTATCTATTTTGGTCTTTGGTCAATTGTTTGGTCTCTACAGCCTTCGGCAGCAATGAGTTCCAGAGATTCACCACCCTCTGGCTGAAGAAATTCCTCCTCATCTCAGTTCTAAAAGAGTCGTCTCTTCACTCTTAGGATGTGCTCTCGGGTCCTAGTCTCTCCTACTAGTGGAAATATCTTCTCATGCCCATTCCATCCAGCCCTCTTGGTATTCTGTAAGTTTCAATGAAATTCCCCCCATCCTTCTAAACTCCATCAAGTACAGACTAGAGACCTCAACCACTCCATGGCAAACATTTCATCCATGCAATCATTCTGGTACAACTCCTCTGGGATCCTCCAATGCCAGCACATCATTCCTTAGATATGATGCCCAAAACTGATCACAATATTCCAATGCTGTTGGACTAGTACCTTATACAGCCTCAGCAGTACTTCTTTGCTCTTGTATTCTAGCCCTCTTGAAATGAATGCTTTATTGTTGATCGTTACACTTACCTCTGCCCCCGACTCTCTTTAGTTCTGAAATACTTTGTCTTGCACCATAAACACTGAGGCAAAGTACCTACGCAGTTACGAAGTCATAAAGATGTACAACCATGGAAACAGACCCTTGGGTCCAACTTGTCCATGCTGTCCAGATATTCTAACTTAATCTAGTCCCATTTGCCAGCATTTGGCCCATATCCCTCTAAACCCTTTCTTGTTGTATAAGCATCCAAATGCCTTTTAAATGTTGTAATTGTATCAACCTCCACCACTTCCTCTGGTAGCCTGTGCCATACACACACTACCCTCTGCATGAAAAAGTTGTCCCTTAGGTCCCTTTTAAATCTTTCTCCTCTCACCTTGAACCTATGCCTTCTAGTTTTGGACTCCCCCAACCCTGGGGAAAATACCTTGGCTGTTCACCCTATCCAGTTCCTCCACCATTTCTTTGTTCCCCATTACTACTTCTCCAGCCTCATTTCCCAACTGTCCAATGTCCTCTTTTGCCTCATTCTTACTTTCTGTATACCTGAAAAAACTCTTGCAATTTTGTTTTATATTACAAGCTAGCTCACTCTCATATTTCGTCTTCTCTGCCCTTGTTGCCATTTTTTTTGGTGTCCCGCTGCTGATTTATTTAAAGACTTCCCAATCCTCTGGTTTCCCACGAATCTGCACCACACCACATTCTATGCTTTTCCTTTTCCCTTTATGCTATCCCTGACTTCTCTTGTCAGCCACTGTTGCATCATCCTCCCCATTACTATGATTCTTCTTCCTTGGGATGAATTTTTGCTCTGTCTCCAGAATTATTCCCAGAAACTCCTGCAATTGCTGCTCCACCAGCTTCCCTGGTGGATTCTCTTCCAAACATCTCTGGCCAACTCCTCCCTTATGTCTTTGTAGTTATCTTTACTCGATGTAATACCATCACATCTGATTCTAGCTTCTCTCTCTCAAACTGCAGGGTGAATTTTGTCATATTATGGTCAGTACCTCTTAGGAGTGCCTCCACCTTAAGCTCTCTCAATCAGATTTGCCTCATTACACATCACCCAATCTAGAATTCCCTATTTCATAGTGGGCTCTCCCACAAATTGCTCTAAAAAACATCTTGTAGACATTCCACAAATTCCTCTTCTTGGGGTCCGCTACCAACCTGTTATTCCAGTCCCTCTGCATATTGAAGCCCCCCAGGATTACTGTAATAGTGCTTTTCTTACATGCCTTTCCTATCTCCAGATCTGTTTTCTGCCCCACATCCTGACTATTACCAGGCAGCCTGCACATAACTCCCAATATGGTCTTTTTTCCTTTACAGTTCCTCAACTTAAAATCACACAGATTTTATGCCCTTCATCCCTATGAATTGCTTTTTGCTATCAACTTAATTTCACTTCTTACTAACAAGGCAGCTGTGCCATCTCTGCCCGTCAGCCTGTCGTTTCGATAGGACACGTTTCCTTGGATATTTGTTTCCAGATCTAATCCCCTTGTAACCATGTCTCTGTAATGCCCACAACTTTGGACTCGTCATAGAGTCAAATTTAATCTGTGCCACAAGTTCATTTTCCTTGTTGTGTAAACTGCATACATTTAAGTATAAGTCGTATACTTAAGGACTTTAATTGTCAGCAAAGCAGGAAGGCCTTCCCACCACCACTTTAATCGGGGTGGAGGCAGGAATGTGTTGGGGTTACCACTGCCATTCTCTTGCCTGATTAAATGCCCAGTCACTAAACTCACTATGGGGGAGGGAATTAAAAACTGCCTTTGGTCTCCTTATCTAACAAAAGACAGAATGCCTTAAAGGAAGGTTTACTACATTTATTCCAAGAATTGAGGGGTCTATCGTACGAGGAATGACTTTAGAAGAACATAATAGAAATTGCAATTTATTGTCACATGTATTTTCACAAAAATATAGTGAAAAATTTTATAAGTCGCCATACCATCGCGCCTTTATTAATGACATTACTCATTGACAAGAAGAAAAGTAGTAAAAATTAAGGTGAAGTTCATCTCCGATAAATTTCACTTCAGGGAAAGTTTATTAAAATGACGAACACTGGAATACCCGGAAGCCGCCACTGAAGACGACTTCCATGCCAAACTGAGACCACCCCACAGGACAAGGTGACTGCTGTGCCAAGTTGAGACCACCATGCCAGGACGAGCCTGCAATGCTACCAAAGAGAGGTGCTCCAATTGGAGCATATAGAATTGAGGGGCTTATCAAAGTGGACAATGGGAGGCAGGTTTCAATGGCTTGGGAACTTATAAAATGGGGTACTAGTATCAGAAAGAGAGCGCGGTCATTTAAGATGAAGATGTGTGCACATTTCTTCACTCAAAGGATTATGAACCTTTACAATTTTCCACTATGTAGGGTTGTGAATGCTTAACTGTTAAATATATTCAAACTGCAGATAAGCAATTTTTTGGATCTTAAGGGAATCTAGGAATTTTGGTCAAGTGCAAAATGTAACTGAGGTAGAAAATCAGCCAAGTCTTTACTGAATGTTGGCAAAAACTATTTTCTCCTTCAAAATCTTAATATTTTATGCTTTTACGTTCATAGCACAATTATGGCAAATGGTGGTAATTTCACCAGCAATGCAAATGCAAACTCTGGGCTACAATCCTTCCTTATGTGGCAGCACATCCCTTGCAGCACGCAAACAAGAACAGGAAGCGATTTAAACATGACAGGGAGTAATAGACCAAATATTCAAGATTGGAAAAATAGATCCCTAATTTTTTGTTTGGTCACGCAGAGGAAACTGCCCTGTAACTTTTGCTAAAGTATCATTTCTTTTCTTCAAATTTCTTGAAGTTAAAGTCAAATATTGGCACAAACCAATACTAAATCAATTTTTGTGTAAGTCATTGTGAAATGTAATCAAAATGGGTATTTTAAAGCATTTTGATATTAAACCATGGGGAAAAAAAAAAAAATCAGAAAAATATTTCAATGATAAAAAACAAATGGCCAGTAAATTTCAGCCCTGTGAATCATGGACTGACTCAAATTGAGAACCATATATAGACAGCATTCTATAATTATATTAATTAAGGAAATTTGCAAATGATCACATTATTTTGATTTGATCAATGATCAGCTGATTTTCAACTAAATTAATTTGGCTAACTACCTTCTGCTTTCTTTGCACTTACCACTCAGAGACAGAGATTCTTTTTCTTCCTTTTTCAAATCTAACAAATCATCTATAGACACTATTGAGGAAAAGTTTTAAAATGTTGTTAGCTCTTTTTTTTTTCTCAAAGATTCCCTAAAAATAAAGAAGAAATAAATGCCTTACGGGCATTATGATAAATGTACCGATATTGAGTCTACCTGATTTATGTTGATTGCTTGAAGACATTGGCTCTAAAGATGAAAAGGCATCTTTTTCCATTACAAGGGAAAGAGGAGTATCTAGAAATATCCAAGTGCAAAATCAGACTTATGACAAATAATTAAAGTTAGAGAAAATTACATGATTCCCTAACTGCTGAAGGCAGGGCGGAGTAAAAAAGTTTGGAAGAAAACAGAAATTAATTCATAGGGCTCTTGGCAGGGAAAAATAGAAGTGTCTTTTTAAAAATGTGATCATGGTTTCCAGGTCTACATGAATAACAATGGTCAATCAAGAATCGCTGCAGTTCTGTGAATTACAGCACAACAAGGTACCAATTTAGACTATGGCATAAACTATTCAGGTTATTAGCCAAGCCAAAGTGTTCGAGAATCAGCAATATTGAAGTTACTTCAAAACTGATTGTAACGACTTTTGTCTCTGATACAAAAACACAACGTGAAGCCATTAAACTTGGACATGATTGTTGCTGAAATTAGAATTTTTGTTTATTCACGATATGAAACCATAAGGCCAGGCCAGCAGTTGTTGCTCCCATTTCTAATTGCCCTTAAGGTGGTGATGGTGAGCTGCTTTCCTGAACTGTTGCAGTCCAGTGTTATAGGTATACACATAATGCTATTCGGGAGGTGGTTCCAGGATTTTGGCACAGTGTCAGTGAAGGAATGGCAATATAATTCCAAGTCTGGATAGTGTGTGGCTTGGAGGGAAACTTGCAGGTGATTTCCCTGAATTTGCTGCAAGTGGTTTCTGCATATCCTCAAACTCACATCTAAGTCCTTCATTGCAATCCACTCTACTTCTTGTACTCTAACAATTTTAAGCAACTCGAAAAATCAGCAAACATGTCTGCATTGGCAGCAGTGTGGTTGACTCTTAACTGTCCTCTGAAATAGCCCAGCAAGTCATTTGGTTTAAAGACAAAATGTTGACTCAGCCAGTGATGCCCACAGCCACTGATGTGAAAGAAATGCAGCAGAAATCACTTAGCAACTAACATGAAATTAGTTCATGTTCCCTTTAAGTCAGTGCTGGTACGGTAGTTCAAATGTTCAACTGTGCAAGATTAAGAAAGGGTGTTAGCCAGAATACTGATGCCAAAGATGGCGATTCAACATTACAATGCTGATTAACGTTCCAATCTGTTTATTTTGCATACTTCTGGCAATGATTGCTGCGCCCATGCTAATAATCTCATCAAAGGTAGTGGCCATTGGCTCGTAGCAAAATTGTGCCACAGTCACCATATTGGAGCCAAAACTTGACTCCTGGAGTGGACTGTTCAAGATTATTTAATCATACCTGAATTGTTAGATTCTTTGTCCTCCTTTTCTTCTTCTAATGAGATAAGTCTACAAAAATCAAAGAAAGTACAATGATTTCAAGTTTAAGATAATACAAATATTAATTGTTATGGCTATCTTGTTCCCAAGGATTTGGATACAACAGACCTCAAACCCTACATCCTTTAAAAACACATACAAATTGCTGAAAAAGGGCACATTTTATCAAAGATACTTGGCTTGTGCTTATCAGCACAATTCACAAGAAATATAAAGTGAAGGGAAAACACATTTATATTACTTAAGGGAGAGTGCTGATTTGGTTATCAAGTAGACTTCAATCAACAGAGGCTTTGCCATGGACAAGGCACCAGTTAATGATGACGGAGAGGTAACTGTTAAGCTTTATTTAAATTTTAAAGCAAGCAGGTTGGCTTTAAATTGGTCAAGGCATTGCTCTAGCAAATGAACAGACTAGCTTTCATCTGTTTTATTAAACTGAAATAAGCGCCATGCATGGACATGTTCTTTTAGCATAATCGTTTGCACACTGATGGCTACATTGTAAATGCTGTTCAGTTTCAGAATCACATCTCATTTAGGACACTGTGTTGCGGGTCTTGCAAGAACTGTCTGGTTGGATACAGTAAACGGCAAAAGGTTCTCTAATCTGCCAGTCTTTGTGATGTATGGCCCACAAATCCGAGTGTCACACTGGAACTGAAATTCATAAACTACATTATTAATTTGCGAGATAGGCACAACATCTCAGGCTTCACAGCAGCATCCTGTTATTGATGAACACTGCAGATGTTGCTATTGAATAGGTGCAGTGTAAAAAATAATTGTTTCACCTGTTGCTCAAATTTTTAGGATACTTTGCTCTAATCCGAGTTCTACTTGGAATTTTCAAAACCAATAATGAGTGGGGCCAAGGCCATCATGTTTTTTGTACGTTATACAGCAAGAAATCATCTAATCAGGATTGCTATTGTCTTGTACAATGGCTTTTTGCCCTATTTTAGCATCAACCTTGCACAATGAGCAAATGGCTCATACCCTGTTTGAGGTCGGCAATAAGGCCAATCTTATATTGTGTGCTACCTATGGGAATCCTAATGTGTATATTGACCAGCAAGAATATGCTTGCAGAAGACAGTAATAGATAACCTCATTACTATTTTAGCAGTTCTCTTGGTCAGCGGTTTTCTAATAAATTTCAAGGTGACCAGACAGCTACATGAAATAATATATATATGAAGCCTTTACACAAGACCTTCGTGTAATCACTGTCAATAATGCCAAAAATTGAGGCTGTGGAGGTCACCACTACAGATATGTGGCAACAAATAAAGCATTTAAAAATTAGAAATTAAATACATCAAATCAAAACTGAGAGATGGCTCCGACTATGATTTTCAAATATATTTGTAATGCACTTAGAACATTCACAAGGGAACATATAAATCGCAGAAGTTTTACATTCCCACAAATAGGTCTCATACTTGAGCATTCTTTACAACATATAGTTATAACTATAAATAAAATAGTATAAATGTATTTCCTCCCAAAAAAGATTTAGGGACTTAAAAAAAAAACAGATTTTTAAATGCTCACAATAATAGTGTGAATACCATGTCATTGCATGGCATGATAAAACAGCTCAACCATCAGATACCCTAACTCGTAGTTTATAAGTCAACTTTAGAAGCTTCAAAAAATGTTTCAAAAATAAACAAAAAAAAGGGGTCTAGTTATATGGTCATTGTGTGATCCAACTCTGGATTTGGTGTGTAACGAATGAGGAGACTTGATTAGGGAGCTAAAATGTGAAACACCGATAGTGTGTCTTCTTAGTAATTGTAATCAATTGTGACTTGTTATTAAGGGTCGGTTAGGGTTGCATTGTTAGCAAGAAATTAAACTGAAATTGATAGCAAGAAGCAATATAGAGTTGGAAGGCATTGAATCTGTGTGGGTAGAGTTGAGGAGCAGTAAAGGGAAAATGACCCTGATGGAAATTACGTACAGGCCTCTTAGCAGTAGTCAGGATGTGGGCAGAAAATAAATCAGGAAATAGAAAAGGCGTGCAAGAAAGGCACTATTATAATAATATCTGGGGACATCAATTTGCAAGTGGACCAGGAAAATCAGGTTGGTAGTGGATCCCAAGAAAAGGAATTCATGGAGATAGTAAGAACTGTCG